AAGATTTTCAAAAGAGTTTTGAGTAATTTGTAGAAACATCACTTTTTCAGAGAAAGATTTTGGAGTAGTAATCTCAAAAAATAGAAGGAGGTATTCTTTTTAATAAATGAGCTGAGTATATTTATGGAGGAGTATTGAGTACTGATATGGAGACGAGTCAAAATAACTCAGGTCTCCATAAACCATGTAGCCGGCGTAGGTATAAAGGGTCATATTTATAGATGATTCCTAGAGTAGTGCTTTTTAGTATAGACTAGTGGATCCACTTAGAGATTCTATACTATGGAAAGGTATAGGTCAATTCTGGCATTGTCGGCGAGACGTTGTATCATCAATAGCTCACAGTGATAGTTGTCGGTTAAAAAATTCTCACCTAGTTATAATATTATATTTTATTATATGTATAAAGTGAATTTTTATTGTATTCTTCAATACATTGAGTTGCTACTTGCTATTTTAAAAGTTTTCCATATATTGTATATTTTATTGTTACTTTATCTAGAGTTGAGTATCTAGAGTAGAGCATCTTGAGCATAACTATATTTCATCGAGTCAAGTACCTTATTCTTGAGTTGAGCCCATTTCACTGTCTTATGAACCTTATTACTGAGTTGTATCTCATCTTTGAGTACTTCTGAGTTGAGTAAGTTAAGTAGTTTTGAGTATCCTTGAGTATACCTCTGAGCTGAATATCTTATCTCCGAGTTGAGTATCTTATTCTTCAGTTGAGCTTAGTGAGTGAGTTGAGAAGAGTTAAGTATGTTACCTTTTTACCAAGTTCAAGCTTATGTTTATGGTTTATAATCCCCTTACATGCTTGTACATTTCATGTATTGAGCTATTGGGCCTGCATCATTTTATGATGCAGAACATGTATTCATGGTCATTAACAGGAGTTTTTATGATGTAACATTCCAGAAAATGTACTCGTCTAGTGAAGAGGCTATTAAGTTTTAAGAATAGGTATAGGGGGTACATAGGAATCCTAATGCCCAATATTTAGAAATATTGGGCACATTAAAAAATATTGGCATAAAGGGTGTTAGCCAATTTTCTATGTATTAACAAGCTTGTCCAAGAAATGTAGCAGTAATGAAGACCATTAGCTAAAAACATATATTTTCTAGCATTTGCAAATAAGTGCGAGGCATTCATCTGTCAATCCTAGGCACCATAGCAGATGACCAATTAAAATGGTCATAAAGATTACGCAGTGCCCTAGGACATAGTGATGATCGTTGGGACAATAAGTAAATATTCCAAGTGAACCATCAAGAATACTTAGTTAGGAAAGTACAAGCAACATGTGCAAGCACATGCGAAAAACAACGAAGAGGGGGGACCACACTAACCGAATTTGGTTAGAATAGTTAGGAGCAGGAGTGCCCACGGGTCTATCCATGTGAGGGACAACTCCATAACCAATCCTATACTCTAACTAACTGACCTAACTAACTAAATAGACTAGGACCATCTAAAAAAATATCTAACTAAGGGACCTGACAACCTAAGACCTAGTAGGGTTACACCAAACCGTGTAACTAACTAAGAGACAACTTAGTACCTAACCTAGGATGGTCCAAAAGGGTTATTTATGGTCCTAATAACTTAGGGGTAATTTAGTAACTACCCTGGGTCCCTCAATTAATTTAATAAGCCATTTAAATAATTAATTAAAAATCATTATGTTGGCCTAAACACTTAGGAAAATTTCATATTTGGCTATGTCAAATGCTCTCCTATTTTAGTCAACTTAGGAGGGGCATTTTAGTAATTAACTAATTAATTTAATTTACTTAATTAGCCCAAGTTAAATTTGTCAAGATGAGTTCCTAGGACTTAGACTCATGTTCAGAGTCTAGAAAAATTCACGACGTAAAATAGTAAGCAAACGAACGAAAAATAGAAAAGTTTCTCTCAATTATCTTAGGCAATTTCAAGGTTTTCTTCAAGGTTCGGTGCAAGGTGATATTCGTAGATTCAATTCTAAATAAGTTATGTGTTTTCTCTCCTGGAATTATTTCTTCAAGAGGCTTTTCAAACGTTTTAAATTCATGAATGTCGAAACTAGGGCTGTTCCCAATGATATTGTTGAACGTTCATCTTCCTAGTTATCCTTGTTTTCGATTCTATAAGTATATAGATGTAATCTTGAACATGTTGTTGGTATGTGGTGCTAACTGATCATTATGTGTATGTTCTTGATTTGTTAATGACTAATGAGTCCTATATACTTGATTTATATGATTAGAATATTAGTTATATGAAATAAAGAATGATGTAATGCTTAATTGTGTTCGAGAATGTGAAGTTAATTAAAAGTCGATTATGAAGTTAACTACTGTTAAATGTCGACTTGCTTATGTTGAGGATATCATTATAATACATTCATGGGATTAATTGATATGGCTAGTGATAACATAATGAAAATTATTTAAGTGAAAGTTTGATTTATGCCAACAAATTGGCTAGCAATATATTTTCCAAAATGTTCAATAGAATTGGTTTACTATGTTATTTCATAAAAAATTGGCTAATGATATTATCATGACCATTGTCTAGTGACATTTTGGCTTATGCCAATATATTGAATAACAATAATCTAGATTACCATAATATGTGAAAAATTAGTCTATGCTAATAAATTGGCTTACAATGTATTTCCAAAATATGATACAATGACTAAGTTATACCAAAATTAGGCATGACCAATGTGACAATCAATGGGACAAGTCCCAACATACCCTTTCCAAATGAACTATGAATATAAGTAAGTAAGTACATTGAACAAAGTTTATAACGTTTATAAAGAGTGTCATAAAGCTACCAAATTTCATTGAACAATATAAGGTGAGTAATAACATAATTAAAAGTTTAAAAATTATGAAAGTGACGAGATTGAGGTGTTAAAAGAAGTGAGACAAGTTTCACTCACACCTAGAAAATTATGCTAAATATACTCTCATAAAAGGGTGCTAATAATCGTGAGACAAGTCTCATTAACATGAAGATGAAAAATGTAAGGTGAAATTCACATTTCATCAAGTAAAGAAAGGGATGACCGGTTATCTAAAGAGTTGAGTAAACCTCAAAACTAGAAGAAATGAGCTTATGCTAGCACATGTAAGCCTCATGAGATGAGTGTACCACCAAGGTGGATAGGTAGTCTCCGTATGTCTTATAGTCTTCAAACAATGTTTCCAGCATAGGAACTAGCCAATGGATTCAACCTAAGAGAGCTAGGTATGATGCAGTTTCACTTTGGCCGGTGAAAGCACAACTTTTTGATGTGGAGCAGTCACTGGATATCATGTTTAGCTTACATTATCTATGTCAGTTAATGCTCAAAGAAATTATTCGATTCATTTTAGCCGTGATCCACCTCTTTTTTGGGTGTGGAGAAGACACTGAACTTTGTTTTCACTTTAACTGGTGAACCACTCCGTTTCGGTGTGGGGAAGAAACTGGATTTCATGTTAGCTCACTTGATCTACGTTCAGTTTGACTAGTGAACCACCCCCTTTCGGTGTGGGGAAGACACTGGATTTCATGTTAGCTCATATGATGTTAATGCTAAAGATTTCTTTAAGAAAGTAAGAAAGAAATAAAGAAGAAGAAATGTAATTTAAAAGTTAGCTAAGAAAGTAAGATCTTAAGTATGTCAAATCATTTGTGGTTGATAAAGAATGAAGTTTTAACAAGTTATTGGCTTGTGACAGATCAAGATATATTCTCCAATGTCTTCACGTTATGCAAATGATCAAATAATGGGCTTAGCCAAATCAAAATTGGTTTATAATGACTTCTTATTTTATGCCAATAAAGGGGAGTAAAACATAATGGCAAATCAATGTTCCACAATCTCCATAATGTTAAAATGATAAAATAAGTGGCCTAGCCAATAAAGATTGGCTTATAAAGAGTTCATGCCTAATCTAACAGGAATGGAAAGAATAACTTGTAGTAAGGGTAGTCAAATCATTTCCTTAGTCTTTTAAAAAACTTACTTGATTCGTTGTGCATATGAGACTACAATGAATTATTGAACTTGTAAGTAAAACATAAGATTGGAGAGATCTTTGAACTACACAACAACTACAAGAAGAAAAAGACTGAAATATAAACTAAGTGTTGGGGAAGGAGCCCTCGGGTTTGGAGGAGTAAATTTCAAAATTTTCATTCGAGTAATTCTAAAATTATGTTAATGATTCTAAGGTCTTATGTTCATATATAAAATTATTTGTTCTTTGAATGCATCAAAATATGTCATATTCATACCATATTTCACGAATAATGAATTATGAAAGTCTAGTGACTTCACTTTCCAGAAATGGCATGTTGTTATAGGAAGAGCTTTCCGTGATCATACATAGTACTTATGTGTATATGCTCATATCCCCATACTTAGTACAAGTGTGTACTAACGCTATACTATTACTATTTTATAGGCGCAGGTCAGAGAGCTGATTGAAGACTCATTAAAGCGGTTTGGATTAGTGATCTCCAGACTTTGGTAGGTCATCATGAGTTCAAGTATGCTCCACCTATCATTCTAACTTAGTAGTCTCGACATATGTAGTAGATGTTGTCTTTAGTTTTTCATTTCAGACATTTATTCAAAGCTTTGTATTAAGGCCGTTTGGCAAACTATTAAGATATTGATTTCGTCAGTGAATTGCTTAATTGATTGTAGATGGTTGTTTAGTTTGAGATCATTAGAATATTATTCTATATCGTACTCTTATGAAGTCTATGTATGCTTTACTATGTTTTAAAAGTTTTAAATTTTTCTCAAATTTAACTATACAATTGTAATGAAAGCTAAGAGGAGGTTTCTCTGCGACCTCTGAGAGGTTAAAGACGCCGGTTGCATTCGGATTTCAAAATCCGGGTGTGATAAACTTGGTATTAGTGCATGAGGTTAAATTACCCAGGAAGTAAATCTCAAAACAACCATGTTACGTAGTTTCTAACTTATGGTTGTGAAGCGCGCCACAATCATGACTTTGATACAAGGTGATGTTAAGAATCTTCCATTTTTCTACTCTTTATCGTGCCGTGTAGAGCTTTGAAATTTTGTGTCATTCTAGAATCTAATTCCCTTCTTGTGTATACGTGTAGAAAATCAACACAAGGAGAAACGCAGGAAGAAGAGTCGAAGAAGCAGCTGCTGAAGGCAACCAAGCTCCTCCTCAAGCCCCAACTGCTGGAGTGCAAGTGCCTGTCAACCCAGTTGTGTTGACGGATGGACAAGTAAGAGGAGCACTAGTTCAGATGGCCCAAGCAATCACCACTCAGGCACAAACTATCACAGCTCAGGCCACTAGAGAGGGTGCTCCTAGGGAGAACCTACATGCTAGTACCATGGCTAGCAGACTGAGGGCCTTTACTAGAATGAATCCTCAAGTTTACTATGGGTCCAAGACTAATGAGGATCCCCAAGAGTTTGTGGATGAGGTTCATAATATTCTCTGTGTTATGGGTGTTAATGAAGAGGAAAAGTCTGAGTTTTCTACTTACCAACTCAAAGATGTAGCTCAGGTGTGGCATAGGATGTGGCGAGATGACCGACCACCAGGAGAAGTTCCCATTACTTGGGACGTTCTTAAGACTTCATTCCTAGAGAGTTTCTTTCCCAGAGAACAGAGAGAGTCTAAGGTTGAGGAATTCATCAACTTACGACAGAGAGGTATGTCAGTTAGGGAATACTCTTTGAAGTTTGTTAAGATTTCCAAATATGCTTCTTCTCTGGTGTCCAATAGTAGGGATGAGATGAGCAGGATTGTGACTGATGTGTCGGAGGATTTGGAGGAGGAATGTCGGGTATCCATGTTGCATGATAACATGGAACATGGTAGGTTGATGGTACATGCATAAAAGGTTGAGGAGAGTCGTCGGAGAAAGAGAAACCAAAAGAGCAAGAATAGGTCCTCGGATCAGTCTGGTTCGAGCAATGGTAATAATTCATTTGGAGTTCGGGATAGGCACAAGTTCAAGAAGGGGAATAAGCAATATGTAATCCTACTCCTTCTAAGAACACTAATGCCAAAGAGGTCAATGAAAGAAATGCCCAGTGTGCTAGAAAGTCGTGTGATAAGTGTGGCCGTTTGCATGGAGGTGAGTGCCTGGTGGGTACTAATATCTGCTATGGGTGCGCCAAGAGTGGGCATATGGTCAGGGAATGCCAACAGATTAGGAATCAGGCTAGGACAGATGATTTGCCTCGGCCTAATCCTACTGCTGCATCAGAACCTCTCAAGAGGAACAAATTCTATGCTTTAAAAGGTAGAGAAGAGCAAGAGAAGTCAGTTGATGTGGTCACTGGTACATTGCATGTCTTCTCTTTTCCTGTGTATGTATTGTTAGATACATGATATATTTTGTCACTTATTACTACTTTAGTATCTAGTAAGTTTGACTTGCTTTCTGAGATCTTGCATGAGCCTTATCTAGTCAGTACTCCCATAGGAGACGACATTAGAGATGAAAGACTACATAAAGAATGCCCAATTAATATTCTTCATAGAGTCACCCATGCTGATGTAATATAATTAGCTATGCTTGATTTTTATATAATATTTGGTATGGATTGGCTCGATAAGTGTTATGCTACTATAGGTTGTCAAAACAGGGTAGTAAGATTTTAGTTTTCTAATGAGTTAGAGCTGGAATGGGAAGGATGTAGTTCAAATCCAACAAGCCAAATAGTTTCCCATCTTAAATCCAATAAGATGTTATCTAAGGGGTGTTTATACCACTTAGTCAGAGTCGATGCCTTAGAACATGAAGTTTCTTCCATAGACTCTGTGTCCATAGTGAATGAGTTTCACGATGTATAATGATCTAAAGAAGATATATTGGTGGGAAGGTATGAAACGAGATATTTCTAAATTGTGGAGGAGTTCCCAAATGGCCAACAGGTTAAGGCCGAAACCTTAAGCCTGGAGGTCTTACCCAGTCGATTGAGATCTAGTTACCCTCACTTGTTCAGTTCTTGAGGTTAGATATATTCTTCCTAAGTCTAATTTTTTTATGATACTCTAAATCTTAGTGCATTAGGCGGTTTTGCTGTTCTAAGTCCATAACTGAGTGTTTTATACTTGCACTATATGAGTTAATATGAGTTCATTCTTGCATTCATGTTGCTATTTTTGTATAGCGTAGACATGATTTTTGTGTTGTATGAGTTATAATGTGCATTAAGTGAAGTTTTATTGAGAAGGAAGTTCCTCAATCTCAAATATGAAGTTTCAGATTAGCTTGATTAATATGCATCATCCAGAGTAAGTGTGAATCAGAAATTCACAAAGATTAAGGTTTCAAGTATGTTAATGTGTTTTCAAAATTAATCTATTTTATTTAAGATGATATGTAGTGTCATTCAGGAATGAATGTTCCTAAGGAAGGGATAATGTAACATCCTAGAAAATATACTCGTCTAGTGAAGAGCCTTTAAAGTTTTAAGAATAGGTATTGGGGGTATATAGGCATCCCAATTCCCAATATTTAGAAACATTGGGCATATTTAAAAATATTGGGCATATTTAAAAATATTGGCTTAAAGGGTGTTAATATTTTTTCTATGTATTAACAAGCTTGTAAAAAAAAATGTACCTGCAATGAAGACCTAAGCTAAAAACATATATTTTCTAGCATTTTCAAAGAAGTGTGAGGGATCCACATGTCAAGTCTAGGCACCATAGCACATGTCCAATTAAAATGGTTAGGTAGATCAAGCAGTACTTAAGGACATAGTGAGGATCCTTGAGACAATAAGTAAACATTCCAAATGAACCATCAAAAATAGTTAGTTAGGATAGTACAAGTAATACATGTGCAAGCACATGTGGAAAACGGCTAAGAGGGGGGACCCTCCTAACCAAATTCGGTTAGGCTAGTTAGGGGCAGGTGTGCGCACCGGTCCATCCATGTGGGGCGCAACTCCCTAACAAACTCTACACTCTGACTAACTGACCTAACTAACTAACTAACCTAGGACCAACAAAAAAAAGGGACCTAACAACATAAGACCTAGTCGGGTGACACCAAACCGTGTAACTAACTAAGAGACAACCTAGTACCTAATTTAGGATGGTCCAAAAGGGTTAGTTATGGTTCTAAAAACTTAGGAGTACATTAGTATTATTCTAGGTCCCTTAATTAATTAACTTATCCATTTAATTAATTAATTAAAAATCTTTATGTTGGCCGAATTACTTAGGAAAATTTCATATTTGACTAAGTCAAATGCTCTCCTATTTTTAGTCAACTTAGGAGGGGAGTTTTAGTAATAAACTAATTAGTTTATTCAATTAGCCTTAGATGAATGAGTCAACATTAGTTCCTAAGACTTAGACTCAAGTTCAAACAGTAGAAAAATTAACGACACAAAACAGTAAGCAAACGCACAAAAAAAAAAGAAAAGTTTCTCTGGATTCTCTTAGGCGATTTCAAGGTTATATTCAAGGTTCGGTGCAAGGTGATATTCGTATATCCAATTATACATAAGGAATGAGTTTTCTCTCCTGGAATTCTTTCTTCAAGAGGCCTTTCAAACATTTTGAATTCATGAATGTCGAAACTAGGGTTGTTCCCAAAGATATTGTTGAACGTCCATCTCCCTATTTATCCTTGTTTTCGATTCTATAAGTATATAGATTTAATCTTGAACATGTTATTGGTATGTGTTGCTAACTGATCATTATGTGTAGGTTCTTGATTTTTTAATGACTAATGAGGCCTATATACTTGATTTATATGATTAGGATACTAGTTATATGAAATAAAGAATGATGTAATGCTTAATTGTGTTCGAGAATGTGAAGTTTTTTAAAAGTCGATTATGAAGTTAGCTACTGTTAAATGTCGACTTGCTTATGTTGAGGATATCATTATAATACATTCATGGGTTTTATTGATATGGCTAGGGATAACATAATGAAATTTGTTTAAGTGAAAGTTTGATTTATGCCAACAAATTGACTAGCAATATATTTTCCAAAAAGTTCAATAGAATTAGCTTACTATATTATTTCATAAAAAATTGGCTAATGATATTCTCATGACCATTGTCTAGTGAAAGTTTTGCTTATGCCAATATATTGGCTAACAATATTCTAGATTACCATAATATGTGAAAAATTAGTCTATGCCAATGAATTGGTTTACAATGTATTTCCAAACTATGATACAAAATTGGCTAATGACTAAGTTATACCAAAAATAAGCATGACCAATATAACTTTTAATTCATAACCAAGGGTATGCCAATCATTGGCACAAGTCCTAACATACCCTTTTCATATGAACTATAAATATAAGTAAGTACATTGAACAAAGTTTATAACGTTCATAAAGAGTGGCATAAAGCTACCAAATGTCATTGAACAATAAAAGGTGAGTAATAACATAATTAAAAGTGTAAGAAATATGAAAGTGACCTGAATGAGGTGTTAAAAGAAGTGAGACAGTTCTCACTCACACCTATATAATTATGCTAAAGATACTCACATAAAAGGGTGTTAATAATCATGAGACAAGTCTCATTAACACCAAGATGATAATGTAAGGTTATATTAACATTTAGTCAAGTATAGAAAGGGATGACCAGTTACCCAAAGAGTTAAGTAAACCCCATAAATAAAAGCAAGCTTCCATAATGTTTGAGTCAACTCTAAAAGATGTAAAGAAAAAGAAGTTGAGCAAAGCACCGATAGACTGGAAATGAGCTTGTGCCAGCATATGTAATCCTTATGAGATGAGGATACCACCAAGGTGGATAATTAGTCTCCGTATATCTCCTAGTCTTCGAACTATGTTGCTAGCATAGAAACTAGCCAGTGGATTCCCCTTTTTAGTGTGGGGCAAACACTAGATATCATGCTAGCTCATATGATCTAGGTTCACTGAACTTGGTTTTCACTTAAGCGGTGAACCACCCCTTTTTGGTGTGGGGCAGAAACTAAATTTCATGCTAGCTCATATGATCTAGGTTCACTTTGACCAATGAACATCCATTTTCAGTGTGGGGAAGACACTGGATATAATGTTAGATCGCATGATCTTAATGCTAAAGATTTCTTTAAAAAAGTAAGAATGAAAGAAAGAAGAAGAAATGTAATTTTAAAGTGAGCTAAGAAAGTAAGAGCTTAAGTATGTCAAATCATATGTGGTTGATAAAGAATGAAGTTTTAACAAGTTATTGGCTTGTGACAATTAATATATATTCTCCAATATCTTAACGTTATGCAAATGATCAAATAATGGGCTTAGCCAAATCAAAACTGGCTTATAATGACTTCTTATTTTATGCCAATAAAGGGGAGTAAAACATAATGGCAAATCAATGTACCACAATCTCCATAATGTGAAAAGTATGAAATAAGTGTCCTAGCCAATAAAGATAGCTTATAAAGATTTGAATCCCAATTTGACAAGAATGGAAAGAATAACTTGTAGTAAGGGTAGCCAAATCATTTCCTTAGTCTTTTGAATTACTTACTTGATTCATTGTGGGTATGAGACTACAATGAATTAGTGAACTTTTAAGTAAAACATAAGGTTTAATAGATCTTTGAACCACAACAACAAGAAGAAAAAGACTTAAAAAAAAACTAAGTGTTGGGGAAGGAGCTCTCGAGTTCGGAGGAGAAAATTTCAAAATATTCGTTTGAGTTGTTCTAAAATTATGTTCATGATTCTAAGGTCTTATGTTCTTATAGAATGTGAGTTGTGTTCTTTGAATGGATTAAAATATGTCATATTCATACCATAATTCACAAATAACGAATTAAGAAAGTCTAGTGACTTCACTTTCCAGAAAAGACATGTTTTAATCGAAAGAGCTTTCCTTGATCATACATAGTCCTTATGTGTATATGTGCATATACCAACACTTAGTACTAGTGTGTTATAACCCTATACTATTATATTTTATAGGAGCAGGTCAGAGAGCAGATTAAAGACTTATTAAAGCGGTTTGGATCAGCGATCTCTAGACTTTGGTAGGTCCTCTTGAGTTTGAGGATCATACACCATATAATTCTAGCTTATTACTTTAGATATAGCTAGTGTATGTTGTCCCTAGAGTTTCATTTTAGACTTTTATTCAAAGCTTGGTATTAAGGCCGTTTCACAAACTACTAAGATGTATTCATTTCTTCGTTGAATTGCTTAATAGATTGTAGGTGGTTTTTTAGTTTAAGTCATCAGAATACTATTCTATATAGTAATCTTATGAAGTCTATGTATACTTCACTATGTTTTAAAATTTTTAAATTTTTTGTAAATTTAACTATATGATTGTGATGAAAGCTAAAAAGAGACTTGTCTGCGACCTCTAAGTGGTTAACGACACCGGTTGCATTTGAATTCC